TCTTGTTTGCCACTCAGCCACTGAGCTCAATTAGTTCTCTCTGATGTACGATAATTTTCAGTTTCTTAGTTTGCAAATGTCCTATGAAGAAATTCTTAATTTATTATAACAGTTATTTTCAAATAATTTAGAAATCTGTCTTTTCATGGTGTCCTAGGTACAGTAAAGACCCTCTGTAAATAATCAGTTAATCATTCTTTCCTGTACTTATAGGTTCATGTAAAAGAACCAAGAGGAAATAACATCTGCTGACAATCTTTTCACACCAAAATGTTTGCATGTATAAATACATGCAGAGAAGAACATGATGTGTATAAATACTATTAGATTCTTTTCCTGCAAGATCCAATTACTGGGGATTCATGTAGTATATAGTCAAATACTTAAATAATGTTTTGGAGAGCTGACTCACTCTGCTTATGCCTGTAATTTGCTGTTGGGTAGTTTGTCACATATTTAATCTGTAACTAATTTTTTCAAGACTACCATTGTGCATTGTGCTCTATTGTCAGATAGCAAAATCTTTCCTCACCTTTGGTCTTGTGCTCATCTGTAAGTGGTGGCCGCATCTATCAGCTGCCTCTCTCAACTTTTCCTGGTCGTACATAGCTTGGTAATATGTAGTCTGTACGTAGTCTTTTCCTCCCATGTGACTTTATCCCCCTCTGACCCTAAAAATTTGAAATACTCTTTCTTGATTATCTCTTGAGCAATGAAATAATCACAATTGCAGTTCTGGCCTATCCTCTTTAATTTTCTTATTTTGCTGTGATATTATAGCATCATTAGACTGTGATGACTTTGAGAATTTTTCTGATGGGGTGTCTAGAAATGCTTCATTTCTGTCCGGTTTTGAGAGGGAGTTCCACTCGGGCCTATTCTGTTACAGATTCTGGGTTTAGACAGGAACTATTCAACAGACTGATCTAAGCCTTGTGTTCAGCATGACCATACCCTTAGTTTCCCACTTGCAAATAGGGCTAGGAAGTGTATTTCTTTTCTGCAAAATAATTTTGAAGATTGTGAAGCTGAAATAAAAAAGCATGAGGCTCAAATGGATACCCAGAACTGCACTTGTAATGCTCTACTAGTGCTGTTGTGGGGGGGAAAACCCCTCTAGATCTGTAGGGCCAAGGAGGAGGGATATACTTCAGGACCTATAGCCTCCATCCCATGTAGTCTGTACTTGCTTAGTTTGTCGGAAAGAAATTTGATAACTATATCTAGTAGAACTGGGATGGCTCATCTATATTCATTTTAGCATCTCCCTGTAGGACATATCAAAATGGTTGGAAACTGTTCAGCAGAAAGCTGCTGGGGATGTAGGATAGAGAAACATATGGCTGGTGAGCCTCCCATCAAGAGATTTCCTTTAATTGCTGGATTGGAACAACAAAACAAGGTTTTGACTTCATATCCTCAAAATGTATTGTCATCACTCAATCCAGTGAGACTGAATGGATTTTGGGCTATTGTTCCAACCTTTAGAAGCTGTTAGAACTTTCAAAGAGGCATAATGCAGTAAAAAAAAAAAAAAGTGCACAAAAGCTTAGATTTGTTTCTTACACGTCATAAACACTAAGCAAAATTTTGCCACTTTGTTCCTTTCCCAAGACTTTCAGTAGCAGTTCTCTTCTTTATTTTTCCCATACCTTTTTCTCTCTCCCCTCATTCCAGACCTGGATCTTGTAGATTTTTTTGTGTAGATCATTAACATTTTGTGGGTTTAAAGCAAAAGAAAAAAAAATCCTACCTAAAACTCAAACTTAAGTGCATATTACCTTGTGTATTTTGAATTTCTTAGAATTTACATGAATTTAGGTTATAAAAACATTCTACATGGCAGCTTAGATTACCAGCTTTTAAGAGCATGGTACTGTCTATTTATAAATATTGTCTGGAAGATTTTAGGTGCTAACAGAATACAGGCATTGATAAATAGTAGTTTATAGGATGGAAATGCCAGTGAGTGCCAATTTTCTGTTGGATTTTTTTTTATTATCTCTTTGTTTGTATCTATTTCTGGTACCTCTGGGTATCACCTAAGACATGACCATGACAATGTTTGCCAGAAGGCCTTTACTTGAAGAGCCTGGTACTCTGGGGGTTGTTTCAATCCTCCTCTTTCCTCCCTGCCCTCCTTCAGAGTTGCCTGCCAAAAATTCCTTTTCTTGTTAGCAGGTATTCAAGGATATCTCTTATCAGGTTTGGTTTTGTTTTTTTTTTTTCCTACCCAATTTTTGGGGAAAGCTGTAGAAAACGCTGACCATAGCAATCAAGACTTTCTTTTTGGCAGAGCCTGCTCAGCTTCTTTGCCTCTTTTGACCCTATCCTTAAAACTGGGAAACTTATAACTATAGCCATGAATGGTTTGTTTTATTGCTCAGTGAACCGTCCTTCCAGTAAGTGGGTGAAAAGGAGTCAGTGAGGCAAAGCGAGTGAGGACACAGGGAGAGATCCATGTTGAGTATCACGATTGCGTGTGCTTGGAAGTGTTTTCAGACATTAGCTAGGTGATGATAAAGCTGCCTTCTGAAGGATGACTTACAAAGATACACTTATGATATAGAAAACAGAAACGTGTGTGTATGCTTGCACTGAATAGCATTTTACACGTGCATATATAGCCACAAAGATACGTGCACGCACACAAATATTAAGTAGTTAACGCTGCATTTCCCATGAAGCATCTGCAGTGTTCTAATGCAGCAGAGGTTGAGGTTTTTTTTCCCCCCCTCTCTGTCTGGCTACATCTTCCATTCTCTTAAATGGGGTCAGCAGTGGAACCATTCGTAATGCTTAATAACACGCTCTACCAGTGGTGCACTCTTCAGAATACTGAAATTGATTTTTCTTCTCTAAAAGTGTGACCTGCCAGCGTAGCCTTTGTCCTAACGCCTAATAATACGTGATGTTCCTGGCAGCACGGGATGCGAGCGCAGATGTTCTGCAGGCATTAGAAAAAAGCAGCCTCGGTGCAATGTCTAATGCTGTCAAAGGCATTTCATTTGCTGCAGATCAATGTCTGCTTTGAAGAAGAATAATTAAGGTGTTTTGTTCCTTTTGAAACGGGTTCTCAAAATTAGGTTTGTATCGTCCAAAGCTTAATAAGGGGCTAGATAGATAAGCATGAGGTATGAGCATCTTGTTAAATTCATGGATGCATAGCACTTTTGAAATTCAGAGTATTAAGGTAAAAAACTAACTTTAGGCAGCCACTTCAATGGTGATGGTTAATATGGTTAAAGCTGTTAAAAACACTACGGTGGATCTGAGCAGCTACCTGTCTGTTCTAGAGCACCTTTGCTGTAGTGCTTCCCTGGGATAACTTTTAAGAAAAATGCTGTTCTGTTCACTGCCATGTTATACCTGCAACATAGGAAATGAGACTGTTCATTCTGCATGACACAGAGCTGCTGTTTGAAATTGTCATCCTACCCAGATGAGAGAAACATTTCCATGGACTTTGTTTAGTTCTTCAAGGTTGGATATTTGTTGTTAGTTGCTGTTGTTAGTTTTACTGTAAGTAAATGGTAATTTACAGGGTTGGTGCAGAAATTGCCAGATAGGGGTCTGTGTGATGCAGGTGAGTCCATAATTCCTTGCAGTCTTGAACACTGTGAATTTAATACTCCTGCAGTGTCGGGCTGCATTAGGTAGTTGCACAGCCAGCGCTGTACCTGATCCTGAGGGTGCAGACCACTCTCCTTTCCACTCACGCTTCCTGTCGCCGTGGCAGTGACAGCAAGGATGGCAAAGTACAGTTAAGCAGACTAAATGTGTAATCTGGTTGTCTCTTGATGCAAGCTGACAGCTGCTGGCAAAGCAGGCTGGGATGGTATTCTTGGAGACTTCTGCTACAGATCACAGTCTGAAAAAATCCCAATCCCTACAGCTCCTACTGACAGGATTTATTCAGCTCTGTTTGGTGTGAGCAGCACCATATTCTTTTACTGAACCATCTTTTTGTAACGCTTGCTAATTCTCCACAATGATGCTTGTTTATTAACAAAAATTTCAGAACAGCAACAATATACAGGCTCATGTTATTTACTATACCTGTTCGTGATAATATTACCATTTTTCTTGGTGCAAAAGTGCATTTTTATATAGCTAATTTAGTAATATCTACCACCACTGAGTCTTAACTAAGAGCTGAAGTACATTTGCAATTGCTTTAACTTGCTGTCCTGAAGAAAAAAAAAGTTAGCTTGTGATAAGAACACACCCCACCCACCCCCTGTTTTAATTTTTCTGTGTTCAGAGGCGATTTCCAGCTGCAAGGAGGTAAATAGTTTCTTTCTGGCTGTCATCAGAAGCCACAGAATCACAGCGTGGCGGAGGCTGGAAGGCGCCTCTGGTCGAGTCCCACACCCCCGCTCAGACTGCATTGCCTGGGACCCTGCCCGGTTGGGATTTGATTCCAGAGAATATATATTATCTTCTTTATAGTTTCACTCTGATACTTTAAATGTATACCAATTTACTAACTCAGTTGGCATATTTAGGCTTGTTAACCGTTGTATACACTGCTAGATCTACTTGTGCATTTTCCAGATATCTGGAACTTTGAAGCATCGCTTTATAAAAGCAGAGTGTTTATTAGGGGATATGGCATAATCTGGGATGCAGGCTTATTTGTTTCTGGACCAGTTGTGTGTCCATATGAAAGCTGCATCTGTTTTCTTTGCCAGTCCTCTCCAGTAAATTTCTTTTTTGTCTCATTTCCAGGGTTTCTGGTGCATGGATGGGTGTGCTTTGGGGGTGAGGGGGGCAACAGTGAAATCCTGATCACCTCTTGGAGATTCTCTAGTGGAGTCTGTGGGACATAAGATGTTTGCCTTGGAGGCTAGTTTAATCTTATTTAAGTCTAGAAATATTGTTGAATGAGAAACTCTGATCTCTGATTCTTAGAAAAGATGCTTTTTGTGAGTGAGCAATTCTCTTTTCGGGAACTTCTTGACACAAAGACAACTAAGGCCTTTGCTGCTGTCTGACAGGGATTGATGGCCCAGCTGCTTTTCAAGATGATGTTCAGAAGATAGGAAGTCAAGTGCAGATTCTCACTGTTGGACAGTCTAGCCATGATGAAGATGATGGAGAGAAAATGGCTAGTGGCCAGCAACAGCAAAGCAAACAAGATCTTAGAACAGCAATGCAGAAAAAAGGTGAGTAGCCAAAGCTGCCGTTACATTCTCATTGCTTGCTTTATGTATGCTGACTCCTTTTCCTATTCTCACTTTCAGCCCTAGCCTTAGCAGAGATTGTTACTCTGTGTTTCTTCTCCTCAGAGTCTGTTAGGCTCTATTCTATTATCTCCCCCCCCCAAAAAAAAAAGTAGTTCTCTCTTGTCCCAAGGAGCAAGAGCTCTGCAGGCTCTCAGGGATGTGGCTTTCCCATCTGCAGTGCAGTGCTGCTATTAAGGTACCAGGCAGATGCTAATGTTCATATCCATCTGTTCACATCTTTATATTGTACAACTCTGGAAATCACTTACTTGAGGGTCAAAGAAAGAGTACAGAATAGCAATGTTCAAACTAGAATGTTAATTTTAGTTGTGTTGTCCCTTAAATATTGTTGGTGTTTTCATAATGTGTGTTGATGCTTGCAGAGGTGAAAATTACAGCGCTGTGTATGCTGCAGCATTTCCTATGCATATTCTTCAAATGTTCTGGAATATTTTTTTTTTTTTTCTAGAGGCATGCATGATTTGGGAGATGGATTGTGTATGTACACATTCATGCATCTGTCCCTTCCTTCCTGCACTGTTGTTATCTCACTTTAGACATTAACTGTAGGAAGGAAAAAAAAAATCTTAAAATCCTCACAAAGCTTTTTCTGAAGGCATTTGCTTTGGAGTTGTTCTTCTTCAGTGTACAGCTTTTGACGGAAAGATGGCTCAAGCCAAGAGTGCTCTGATGCTTTAAGAATAAACTCTTTGTGTATAAAGAGCAAAATGTAAGTGCAAACTTGACTCATCTAGAATAGACTATTCATACCTAAATGCCCGCCTCTTGTCTGCAGAGCAGTTCTCACTAGGATTCATTTTTTCTGGGACGTTACTCTGCAGATGTGAGCAACTTCAACTGAAATGGGCAGATTTTCTCCAAATGTGGTATTTCCTGGGCATTTGAGTCGGAGGGATGTTGGCATGACTAACAAGTTCTGATCTGTGTGGTGATTGTGTTGCCTTAGACCGTGGCTCAGAATATTTAATCATCAGGCACACTACTTACTAAGGCTGATTGACTTAAAAACTATCAACAGACTTCTCAAATTAGGTCAGAGCACTCGGATTTTTACTCTGGGGGACGTTTCTATTTTTGATGTTTTTTTCCAGGTTAAGATATATTTTTATTCTCTGCAATTTTTTGTTTATTTTTTAATAGAAGCAGTGGGTCAGGGGGCGGTTTTGTTGTTTTGATTTGGTTTTGTTTTGCTTTCTTGCTTCATATTCTTAAATACATGATATGACCTTTTTTTTTACCAGGTCTGAGTACAATCCTGATCAGAATAGACACTGCTAAGAGTGGACCACTAGTAGGTTTCAAGTCTGGAGGGGCTCAGAGCGTTAATGGCTTTGGAGTGGGTGGGGGGGGGGGGGGGGGGACACTTTTTAAAAATGGGAATGCTGAGGTTTACTCATTTTTATTAACAACAGAGCTATGCTCTGTGAGACACAAAGAAAGGTATCAAGATAAGAGTGCAACTAGCAGCATCTCCATAAAATATTTTTACCACGCATGTATGGTTTACTACTTGATGCCAGCAGAGGAGGCTTATTAGAAAGTTTTGAGTATCCCAGTATTCATGGGAAACTTTATGTAGAGCTGGGGCTTTTCATGTGGATTTCCACTGCCACTTCACTGCTGGTGGCATGTCCTTACTGCCACGTCCCTGTTGGTCTTAGAAGCATTTAGAATTGCTGTCTCCCATCAGTCCTTCTCTTGCATGGAATAAGAGCAAAAGGAAAACACCACAGAGATAAATGCTAACTGCCCTAATGGGAAAGGCTGAATTCCATTGGATTTGCGTAGCCCTGATTTGTGCCCATTCTGCTCTTTGACACTAACTTTGTGGAGAGAAGCCTCTCTCAGCATGTGTGTCTGCTTCCCCAGCAAGTCAAGCTGTTAGGAGACAAGATGTTATAGGCTACCTGAGTGTGAAAAGAAAATGCCAGATGTTTTATTTGATTTCTCCATCTGTTGGAAATTGCCATACTGGAATACATTTCTTCCTGCTGGAAATATTCGTCCTTTTGATCTCAGAAGTCTTAATATGTAAGCTCCTTTCTGGCAAAGGAGTCACTAGGACAGAGCCAAACTTCCATAAGTTTTAACACTGAATAATTAACATTTAGTCTTCACATTTATCAGTTTCCTATGTCTCTGCAAAGACTTGGAATGAGCAATTTGGTCTTAGTTCTTCTTTGCCAACTGAAGTTACAACTATTTTGAGATGTAGGGAAGGAATAGGTTTGATTTCTGGATTCAAAACCAGAACAGGACCTGTCTGAAGCATTCTTCCCTACAGGTCATAAGTACAGGCTTTTCTAAGACTGGCACAGAATTTTCACCACCAAATTGGTGGTGAAATAGTGAGCATGGATGTAGAAATAAATGAATAAATCTGCACGTATGAAGTATGGCTTTATCGCACAGCTGCCAGCCCAGGAGATGGGCTTTCTCTATTACCCACACATAGTTGACTAGAACATGGTTGTCATTGTTAAGAAACAATGCTTGTGGTTAATGAGTCTGTGATTAATAATGAGTGACTTCTACAGGCTTTGAAAATACCTGTTGACCTGTAAACTCAGGCCTCCCTTGCGTAACCAAATCCTATTGAAACTTTTTGCTGTCATGCTGTGTCGCGTATGTCAAAGCTGTGGGAACTGGAGAAGTGGATGATGAGACCATTCATGGTGCAGCTGAATGGAATACAAGCACTGCATATGCTGCTGTTGTATACACTTGCTCTTACTGCTCCGGTGGTGTTCCATTATCCAGTGTGCATCTGGTGCCAAAAGCTATTTCAGAGGGATATGCATTGAAGTTATTGCAGCGATAACATAAAAAGTATTTAAATGCTTTTCTTGGTGTCTTCTCATTCCGTTCCAAAATTTGGACGAAGAAAAGCATTACTGATACTATCTCTGATGTTTATATTTCTGTACATTAGTTTGGTTCAGTCTCTGCTTGTTGCAGACCAAGCTTATATTCCAAAAGACTAAGGGACGTGAAAGTTTCTATGCATATCCCTGGAATTTCCAGAAGAACAGTTGAGAGAGCCTGAGAAAGGTGATGAGGAGACACTGGGCACAGGGATTTAGGTAGAATTTAGGCCATCTGAGTATGAGTCTGAATACTTTTTTTGATATTACTGAATGAGTATTTGCGTAGAAACTGTGTGCATCACTTGTGTCGATCAGTTTTATTTTTTTATGTGTTAGAATTCAGAAGTAGGCCCAAAACCTACCATACAGGGCACACAGTGCACAGAAGGCTTTGTGGCGCAACCATTTAGTGTGGATGATGTTTTCTGAAGCTTCAGATCTGTGATCCAGGGCTTTTTGACTTTATTCAAAGTACTAAAAAAGAAGACGACAGTAGGTATAAGCAGGTAGAAGGTGAATTTGATTGTGCAGAACGATAAAATGTCCATAATGGAGACTTCAGGCAGCAGCATTATGGCCCCATCCAGTAAACCTTTAGCCCTATGCGGAGTCCTGTTGGCAAGTTAGGCTTGTTCATTCAGTTAAGGGGTTGCAGAATCAAGCCCATGGATTTTTTCCTTTCCCAGATCCCCATGCAAATACATCCTGGTCCTCTTCCACCTCCCAATCCAGTCTTGTCGCCCTGGATCATGTTCCTGGTAAGTACAGAAGGAAAAAGTTAATTATGCCCATGCTGCTTGACTCTGGAGATCTTTGCATTTCATGTATCCCTCTGCATTGGACTTACCAATAGTGGAAATACTGGACCAAGTGTTTTCTTTTACTTCTTTTTTTTTTTTTTTTTTTTTTTTAGAAAAGAATATTGTGTAGTTAGCCTCTAATATGTGGAACTTAGCGTTTGAACCTGAATACAGGGTGGCTTCCTCTGCATGATACTCCTTGAAAAACTGGGCCTGGCAAACAACACTTTCTGCTGCAAAGTCCTATTTGATGTTCAAAGCTGTATTTCCCTTTTAAATGTCTGAGGTTTTGAATTTGTGTAAAGTCAAATTTTGAAGTGCTGTAAGGCAGTTCCTTTGGCCTGGGCTGATACTGGTTTTTTACATGAAATAAATATGCATGAGAACATTTCCTTGATGTGAATGTTGCTTCTCAGTGTAAGACCTGCTCTTCATCAGATCACATAGGAACAGTTAAAAGTGTGCTGTAGAAAGGCTCGTATTTTAATTGCTAAGGTTTCCAAATGGCTGCAATAGGTTGTCCACTCAGTGCCAATTCCAGGTTTAAGATTTTGTGTTGCGTTTGAAGTACTTGATTGGATGAAGGAGATCCGAATTTAATTCCTAACTGAATGTTGCTCCTGTGGAATGGAAACCATGATATTTCCTTTCTTATTTGCTGAAGTGTTTTAGCTTCTCAGGGCAGGTACTCTCTCACCCATGTATTTGTACACTCCCCGCACAGTGACACCCCCCCCTCACCTGTGAGCCTAAGGGTGCAGCAGTATAATAAGTGATGTTTTCCAGCAAGTATGGACATCTTGAATGTATTAGTATTTCATATAAGTGTGCTGCTTTCTCCTCAGGCATTTCAAGCAGCATGAATTTTGATGAGGAAGAAGATGAGGAAGATGACAGCTCCAGTTCTTCACAGTTAAACAGTAACACCCGGCCTGGTTCTGCCACGAGCAAGAAATCCAATAAGGTAGGGGCTGAGTGCTGAAGAAGGAGCACACAGGCTGCTGTGTAGTGCATGATTTTGGAGTGCAGTCAGGGTAGGCCTGGCTTTCTTGTTTTGTTTTTAATATGCACTAGAGTATCTTCAAGGTGATTTACTGTGATAGCTCTGCGAGTTCATAGGACCAAGCAATGAAAATAATGACTTGGAGAAACGAATAGCAAATATTGTCTGAACTTGAATGAAGAGAAAAGTAAACAGTAAATATTTACCTTTCTACCTCTTGCAGGTGCTCAGAAGGATCTTTTGTTTCTATTGCCTTTTTCTGAGCATTTGCCCACCCAGTTCTCGCTGCTACCACCTGAACATAAAATAAGACTTTGGCTTGTTCAAATACTCTAAACCACAAGCTCTTGCTAAATCAGTTAATGGTGCCCCACTCTTTTATATACTGCACTGACTTCTCTGTTATATCTCTGTCTAGCTTAATCTGTCTCTCCCTATCCCATTTCTTCCCATCATCAAAAGCCATCACGGTCCTTGGGTGTGGCCTTTCTGAAAAAGGAAGTGTGGTGAGATGGGAAGGTGTGAGCCAGGGTTTGCTCTGTAACATTACAGCACTCTGCCTGTGCAGCCACCCCATTCTGCTTTGCCAGATGTGTCTGTACGCTGAGCATCAGCGGCGCAGAGAACTGCTCCTTGGGCCTTGGGTAGCCAAGAGCTTGACCGATTGTATGGGGAGAGATCCTTGGCTTGAGAAGCTGCCTTCAAGGCTGCAGAGGAATCAGAACAGGGAAGACAATATGTCCATTGTTTTTATTTTTTTAAAGTGCAGTTTCTATCAATGCCATTCCTTTGTACTTATAACCTTGTAAATCAAACCTGCATTTTGCGTACTGTTTCAGGAAGCAGCCTCAGCCCCCAGTCCTTCTACAAATGAGCCTCTCATAGATGTTGATGACCTGGAGGAATTTGCTGTACGACCTGCTCCGCAGGGTGTCACTGTCAAATGCAGAATCACAAGAGACAAGAAGGGAATGGACCGAGGGATGTACCCTACTTATTACCTCCACTTGGAAAGGGAGCATGGTAAAAAGGTCATAAAATAACTTGAATGGCATACCAGTTGCATCTGAATATAAAAAATTACTAAAAGTCTGAAGAAGTCTTACAAAGAAAATATAAACTTATATTTTAAATATATTTTCACTTTCACTGAGATCTACCTACAGTCTTCCAAAAGCAAAACAATAGTATCACTTTGTTGTACTGCCTTTCCTCATATGTCCAATCTTTGGCCTTAAATAATCCATGCATAGCACCTTTATGTGACAGTCAGCAGTTGGTGCTCTCTGCATTCTGTGACCTGAAAAGCATCTATTTTCAATTCAACTGGAAGAGCCAGAGCAACTTAGAATGAAACATTTAACGAAATAGATCAAATTTAATTATTTAAACCATAAATAATGGACTGAGTGGTTGAGAAGTCACTTTCCCTTTCCAGATTTTTATCTGGGCTTGTTAAGTCCCAGGAGACCTTCTGTTACTTTGCTAATGATGCTGTTAGACAAAAAAATTGCCTATGGTTTCCTTATATCAAAGCAGGAAGTGCTGTGTGCTAACCCTTTTGGCATTCTAGAATATGTTTTTTTGCACCGCTTAGGTGTTTCTGTTAGCTGGAAGGAAACGAAAGAAGAGTAAAACCTCTAATTACCTCATCTCCATAGACCCAACTGACCTGTCTCGGGGTGGAGAGAGTTTTATTGGAAAACTGAGGTAAACACTGATACATCTACGAATTTTCTTTATGCAATATAAAGTTCATTTGAAGTTAAGAAGCCTGTAAGCTGCTATGACTTCTCAACTAGAGACTACATCATGTGGTAATGGGCTTCAAGTTTACCACTGTCCAAGGCATGTTTTCAAAACATCTCAAGTACTTACGAGATCACATTTTATTAAAAGTCAGCAGGACTGAAGCTCTTAAATGCTCAAAGGCCGGGTTCTCAAGGGTGTATAAGCACAACTTATCGTAATGGGATTTTCAGAAGTGTATGAGTAGATTGTGTCTAGCCCCTATTGATATAAACACCTTGGAATGGAAGTTCTGTCTGTTAGACAATCTGCAAATCTCTTTGGTTTTGCCCATTTCTTAAGATCTTAATTAGAGTTATCTATAAGTAATGGAATTCTTTCAGAACCATGTGTTTCTTTTCTGGCTGTCACCCCATCATACATCAGGCTGTTGTTGATACGTGGAGCCTCTCAATGTACGTTTAGATTGTCCGTGCCTGAGGAAAGGGACTGGACTGCTCATTGCCATTTGCCTGTGTGGACCTCGGAACTTCATGCGCTGTTTGTTGCAGTGCAAACACAGAACGAGGATAATGTGGTTTTAGTATGTTCTAAGTTGTATTTTGCACTCCTTGGTGTGATTTCCATCTAAATAGGAAAGACTGATCTTACTTACAACTTTATGAAAATCACTCTCTGTATTCTAGCAGACTTAGTAGTGAGGTAAGAAAGCAGATAGCTTTGTAGAGAGTAAGCATATTTTAAGAACCTAGCGAACAAACAAAATGACCCTGCCTGAGTGTTTCCTTATTGCTTTCTTGAATTGACTGGTTTGCAAGATGTCATGAGAAATCTCCAGTGCAATGATAAGGGATCTCTAGTATACTCTGCTGTGCCTTTACATTTTTGTTACGGTTTTTAATCCAGGAGTTGCCATTTAGTTGGGTTTAGAATGAACGACTATTGGTACTCAATATTATTTGTCTTTCTTTTGGGGCTACAATGCAGTAAAGAATCGATGTCTCAGGCAGCATTACTGACAACTGGTGATTGGATGTTCCATTTTTTTTTGATAGATCAAATCTTATGGGAACTAAGTTTACAGTTTATGACAATGGAGTAAATCCAGTGAAAACCACATCAAGCCTGGAGGCGAGTATCCTGCGTCAGGAGCTAGCTGCTATTTGTTATGTAAGTACTGCTCACAGGCAAAATATGCAAGAAAGGGCAGATTGGTTTCTGAAATAGCACACTGAATTTCCTCCTCACTTACGATTATGTAAATCAGCATTCATACTTTGCTGTAATCAAACAATGGATCTTCACTAGAGAAACCGGGAAATTCAGTGGAAAGTAGAGGTGAAAAACATTGTGCACAGAACCGGGTTGCCCAGTTCTCACTTTTGGTCAGAAGGTGTTGGAGCTTTTATATAACCCTCTGGAAGAGGTAGGATGCTTCACAGCCTGCAGGCACCATCCAAGGGAGCCTCCTGAACTGGAAAGCGTTGTGCACATGGAATCACAGCACTAACATAATTTGTAATGGCATTTTGGAGGAAGCCTCTCTGATGCAAAACACATGTAACTGCACAGCTAGGTTGGTCGCAGTGGCTGAGAGACTGGGATGAAAACTCTAAATCTGCGTTTTACCAGGAAAAAACCCCAAAAGAACCCCAAACAAAATCTAAAATTCCACTGAATGAGAGAAAACAGCCTCTTACAGGACAGTAAATAGCATTTGTCAGGGGCAATGCAGACAGTCAAGACTTGAAACACAGTTGCTATTGTTTCATGATGTTGCGGTTTACTGGCTGACTAACTGTTTTGGTGAGAGTATTCTTTCCATCCAGAAATCTCTGGGCCCAAGAAACACTTGCAGTCAAAACCAGTACATACATCGCTACAAAAAGTTTTCTGTTTTTACAAATCAACAACTTCTGACAAAAATACCCAAGAACCACTTTTTTAAAAAGTTCCTGCCCAGCTCTAATCAAGGATGCCTGGAGCTCTGTCAGATCGAGACATACCCTGCATACGCATAGAATGCGTTCCTGGAAAAATCAGCTTTAGGTTGTGGGGAGCAATGTGTCTGGAAGCTTTCGGCACATGAAAAGGAAAGCAGAGCCATCCGTTCCACGCAGAGTGCTGAGAGCGCTGAGGGGTGGCAGTAATAGCTGCTAATGTGTTCTTTTCCTGCTGCTTGGGATGCAGTTTTTCTGTGAATATAGTATAAATAGTGGTTTTGTTCCCATGTGCTATTTATTCAGGCACATGGCCTACAGTTGCAGGCAGGTACACAGACACATACATATTCCTCTGTTCCTGTTGGATCTGAAAGTCTCCGAGAATTTCAGAAAATTCAGCTAACAAGATTTAACAGGGGAGTCCAGGATTTGATGCCAGTTGCCAGTTTGACTGAAGTTTCAGTAGGACCCTAGGAAACTTACATGTTTAATACAGGTAATTTTACTGGCTTACATAGGAGGGCATTCCCTGGAGCCAGGCATCTAGTCTTCTGGTACAAACTAGACATACAAGGAGAAACAAAAAAAAGTTTTAAAAAAGTAATGCATTAAAAAATGTAGGCATTGCTTGTATAACTCAACAGCATGAACCATTAATGTTACCAAATAAAAAATCAGTTGTGGTCAGCAGAGGTAATTAGAAGTGTGAGTGTTGGAAAGAACAGAACCATGGCCACTCTTTGGGGAATGTGGCTGAGATAAGCTAATTTTACATGTCTGTTTTAAGATCATCAGTTTAAAACTTGTACATTTGTATAAGAAAATGACTACTGGTATTTTGATACTCATGGGGAAAGGCAGCAGGCTTGCAGGTGTGGTATGGCCAGAGGACAAAAGTGTAATCGGGATGATACTTTGTTACTAGCCAGGTTTGCTAAAGTGGGGTTATTGTTCCTGGCTGAAGCAGAACCACGGCAAAGAATGCCAGAGAGCACACTCCCGAAACACCCTTGTCCTAAGGTAACCTTTTAATTCCTGCCTTGACGTTTTTCCTGGAGCAAAAACTATAATAAACAATACTTTGAAAGCACCACTATGCCTCTCACTGTCCTCTCAGTTCATCCGATCAAGTACCCATCTGGAGAGCAAGCTGTACCCGCTTCCACAAGCTTCCCGAGCCTCAGCAGGTCTAGTTTATACAGGCAAAAGCTGGTGATGCATCTGTTGTGGGATAGACACGTTGAGAACCCTCGTTGTGGCGCTCACCTTAGGGCAAATTTCAAGCAACAGGAATAAAGTTAGTGCAAGGATCAAGTTTGATCAGGTGCCATTAACCATTTTTACTTTCCCCGCTGATGGCAGGCTAGCATATTAATAAACCTGCAGCAGCACCTAATGG